TTAGGTGAACTTGGGAATATTAAAACTCTCTTTCAAACATCTCAGATTTGACTCTCAATGTGCAATCAACTTTTTAGGTAAGGAAAAAAAAAAAAACCTTTATACCGATGATAGTAAACAGCAGGGAATCCGCCATTATGGACGCTTGACTTTAGAATTCAGAGAGAAACTCTTAGATTACTCATTTGTTCACATGTATCTTCCCCACCTCTGCTTTCCTCCACGTCTAACCTGACCTACTAGATGCTGCCTGTGGCCGAGGAACCACTGGGTGAGCAGAAGCCATACAGGCTATTAACCAACTATAGAGAGTTGCCCCACATCGATCTGGACTGATACAGAGAAGTCGCTGGATCTGCTGGAGTCTATACGTCTTTGTTGTTCGGGTTGCTGTAACAGCACCACAGACTGGTTGCCTTAAACTACAGAAATTCATTTCTCATAGTTCTGTAGGCTGGGAGGTTCGAGATCAGCGTGTCAGCACGGTCAGGCTGTGGTGAGGGCTCTCTACCTGGTTTACAGATGGCCGCCTTCTTGCTGTGACCTCACATGGCAGGGACAGACAAGAGAGGTCCTTCCTGTAAGGGCATTAATCCCATTCATGTGGGCTTTACCCTCATGACCTACTGACCTCCCAAAGGCACCACATCCTGACTCCATTACACTGGAGACTCAGGCATTAACAGTAGTTCAGGGGATGCAAACACTCAGTCTATGGCGTCAAGATACGGAAGAATCTAGAGATGGCCCCGAAACCCGTGTGGTGGTCACAACTACTCCCCAGTGTTAGAAGGAAGCAAAGAAGGTGCACAAGGATCCACCTTGCTGTGTTTGCCCAGAACTTAGAGGTGAGGCACAGACCTGTAAAGTCCCAAGGGTGTCGCCGGGGTAACCGGCACAGGATTCCATCTGTTGGAGCTGCCGCCAAGTTTGACCTTGTCAAAGATAGGGGTGTACCGTGGGGGCTGCAACCTGGCTGTGCTCTCGACTCTAATCCTGCTTTGTTTTCTTGGGGCGGAGGGAGGAACAGGCAGAGACATCAAAGATGCTTGTAATTGAATCCAAGTAGCATTGTTAATAGACCAGGATGGCTGAGAAATAGGTGTGAGCTGCTCTACTTTAGATGCAAAGGATAAATGCAGTGGGTGTCACAGCCCGAATAGTAATTATGTCGTCTGTCTTGTCGTAGAATGTGACTACAGTAATTGCAACATTTTCTCCCATCATTGAAGCTTGTAATTATCGTGCAACTACCAGGGTTATGTGCTAACTTGGGCTGTTTTAATCACCTCTTTTCCTCTGAAATGTAATGGTAAAATTCCACAGTTGTTCCCAGGCTGCGGATCCTCTCAACATCTGTTGCCTTGTAACTCTTAACAGTTCGGCACCGAGAAGAGGAGGCAGAGCTGCCCCAGGCCACTCCTGACAGGCCTTTAGCCTGTGAAGCCACCGGGATGGTTGATGAGAAAGCCCACACAGTAAGGGCGTTTGAATTCCTAACCAGAATAAAATTTTCTCTTCGAATGTGCATCATCTATTTTGTTTCAAAGATGGCAGATTTATTATTGGATTCGGCTTGTCTGCAACCCGTATTTTTTGTATTGGAAGAAACTGTCAACCATAAAAATCAGTCCAGGGCTGATTAAGAAGCCCCCACCCCAACCCAAGAGCAGGTGCAGGTTCATTGATGCCGGGCCGCCTCTCATCGTGAGGCTCCTGACGATGCTCATCGCATGCATTTCTCTTTCCAGATCGCAGTTTGCAAACTTCAGGGGCTCTCCGAAGTTCCGCTATACAGGGGTAAAGTGACATGGGACACTACATGAAAGGAGGGGGCTGACGGCCGCAGTGGAGCCCTCCCTGGACTCGTTCATCGCGGGGCGACTTCCTCTCTCTTAGGTCGCCCCTTTCACTGTGTAGATAATCCGAGCGCATCCAGGGAGTCAGCCCTGCCAGGGTCACCCCAAGCCACGCTCAAACAGGGCGCCGTGACGTCATCACGTACTCGTTCCCGCAGGGCGCCGTGACGTCATCGCGTACTCGTTCCCGCAGGGCGCCGTGACGTCATCGCGTACTCGTTCCCGCCATGCAGGTGCGCCCAGCCGAGCGAGCTTACAACTCAGCAAATGCACCTGTTGCCCCAAAACGACCGGGGGAGGCAATCTAAGGGCAACTGGTTTTCCTGAAGGGAGCCCTGTGGCGGCAAATGCAGTGTCACCTTTGGAGGTGACAGAAAAGGCCCAGGTTAGCCCCGCGTGGATCCGGCAAGGCCAGACCCCGACGGCGCGGCTGCTGGGGACGTTAAGCGCGTCAAACCCGCCCCCAGGGACCCGGACGCGCCTCCCCAGCGGACACGGGGGAGGAAGCGGTGGTCGCAGCGCCGCAGGCCGAGCGCGGGTCTCGCCGCTTCACTGGAGCGCGCGCCCTGGGAAGCGGACAGCGCAGGCGCGAAGGCGTTAGCGGTGCCCGGCCGGGGCCGCCGAGAAGATGCAGAAGCCAAGCCCGGCCGTCGTGTGGTTGGCCGCAGCTTAAATGGCTGCCGTGTTTGGCTGTCCGGGGTGGGTTGCGCTTAAGTTTCGCTCCCAGGGCCCAGGAGGCACCGACACTGGCTTAGGTCTAAGCCCGTGCAGGCCACCAAGGCACTGGAGCCACCCGAGTCCGATGGCGTCCTCGCTTCACGGCCTGGAGGGAGGAGCCTCAGAGGTGACACTGGCGGTGTCCACCCAAGCGTAGGGGAGAGGAAGCGGGTCCCAGCTGAGCAGATTTACGGTCAGGGTTTCCTTGGCCAGACCGTCCCGAGATTAAACGATGAGACCTAAGAAACTCTAGGTTCGAGGCTCTTCCTCTGGTCACGTGTGTCCGCAGGTGGGAGGTCTGCAAGGACAGACTGTGCTGGCCCAGCCCGTTTTCACGATCCGTCAGTCAGTCCGCCAGGGCAGCCCCTGGCTGGCCAGACCGCTGAGCTCCGAAGTCCGGCCCCTGTCTTACTGGACACGTGACCTTGGGCGGGCTCCGCTTCGTGCCTCGGCTTCCGCCTCCGCGAAGCGGCTTTGAGAATGTCACTGAGGGACTTCAGAAGGTGATGCGTTTAGCCCGGTGCCTGGCGCATATTTTTACGGATGGTTCTGCATGGCTCTCTCTCTCGAACTTGTGTCATATGGACCTGACGCACGAGGAGACCCCTCGTAGCATTCCAGAAAACTCTGTTTCTGCGCCTGCACGCTGGGGACTAGCCTCTGGACAAGGGGCGCAGGGTCACCAGAGTAACCGCCCCCGTGAGCTGGATGAGGTCGACAGCCGTCCCCCCGCCCCCGCCATGGCCCCGAGTGGTGCGCAGCTGTTCTTTACGCGGTGATGCCAGTCATTACGGTGACCTCATAACTCTTCCGTCTCCCCATTTAGATCTTCCAGAGGGCAGAAGTCTTGCCTTATTCTTCGCCCCATATCCTCGCCATTAGCTAACAGATTTATTCATCTCAAACTCAGTAAATCCTTCCTGGATAAGATAATGAGGTTTGTAGAGAATTCAGAACAAGTGGAAGTGTGTCCAACAAATGAGACAGATGGGAACAGTGAAGACCGGAAAACCAGAGAGGGGACAGTGGCCAGAGAAGACATTCCTGAATGAACCATCCGGAAGAGCTCACTGGAGTTAGGGACTCAAAGCCAGCAGGTCCAAGAAGACCGCTGGCTCTTAGAGGGACAACGTGGTGGTCCCGTCACCGCCACCCTTTGGTGTCTGTCTGCTGGCCTGAGCATCAGATAAGCGCTTGCAGGCTTCGGAAAGCCTCGTTGGCAGGGCGAGTTCACGCACCGGCCGCTCACTTGCCGGCACGTGACGCAGACCCCGAGGGCAGTGGGCTGGCAACTTCGCCTCCCTCTTAGCGAACGCTCTTGGGCGCCTTGCCCTCTGCCACCCAGTTCCTTCTCTGCAGCTCCTGGAGCTCAGCTAGGGGGATGGCTTGGTGTGCAAGTACCATGTGTCCCCAGGTTTCAGATAAGCCTGGAAGGAAGATGGAGGGGCAAGAGCCTTATGGTGAGGGGATGGCCATTTGAGTTAAACCCTGTGTACTTATGACCCGTAGCATGTGTGTTACGTGGATATCACGCTGTGACCCGTAGCGTATGTGTGTTAATGTGTATATCACACTATGACCTGTAGTGTATGTGTGTTATGTGTATGTCACACTATGACCTGTAATGTGTGTGTTATGTGTATGTCACGCTATGACCCATAGCATGTGTGTGTTATGTGGATATCACGCTGTGACCCGTAGTGTATGTGTGTGTTATGTGGATATCACGCTATGACCCGTAGTGTATGTGTGTGTTATGTGGATATCACGCTGTGACCCGTAGTGTATGTTATGTGTATGTCACACTATGACTCGTAATGTATGTGTGTGTTACGTGTATGTCACACTATGACCCGTAGTGTATGTGTGTTACGTGTATATCACGCTATGACCCATAACATGTGCATTACGTGTATATCACTCTATGGCCCGTAGCATGTGTGTGTTATGTCTATATCACGCTTATGACATGTGCTGTATTGAGGATGAAGTGTCTCTCCATGTTGGTCACGAGAGTGGATTACAATAAGACAATTAATAATAATAATAATAATAATAATAAATACAATCACACTGGCTTGGTCAGGGCCAGCACTGCTTTATTCACCTGGAAATGGCTTCACAGAGTAATTGCGAGGCCGCTGGCCTGGAGCCTCCACTCACTCCTCACCTGGGAGGACAGGCTTTCTGGGCTCCCCTGCCACCTCTCTTTCCTCCAGGCCGTGCTCTCCCTACGGGCAGCGTCTCTGTCCTGAGGGATGTGCCAGCACCTGTCTCCCTGGTCCGCACAAAGCCTCTCCCCAGGCTGGGAATGGCCTGGCTGCCGGCCACGCACACAGCAAAGCCTGTCCTCGGGCTTGTCCACTCTCCACGTGGACACTCAGAACTGGCCCCTAACCCCGCTCCTGTGCTGTGTCCCCGCAGGTGTCCCAGGCAGCCGCCGACCTCCTGGCCTACTGCGAGGCCCACGTCCGGGAGGACCCGCTCATCATCCCCGTGCCTGCGTCAGAAAACCCCTTCCGAGAGAAGAAGTTCTTCTGTACCATCCTCTGAGTGCTTCGTGATGAAGCACCTCCTCTCCTGTCAGTAACGTCCGTGGGGACCCGCATGCTCGTAGCTTTAGGGGCGCCCCCTCCCGTCCCTGCCCAACCACATTCACAGGGCAAGTCTCGTCTGTCCCTCGATTGTCTTCATTCCATCGATTTCACTTCTTCTTTTCATTTTCTTGTTATTTTCATTATTGGCAAAGAAAAAGAGACCTTTTTGTAGCCAAATAACAAATGTGCCAAGTGAAAATAAGTAACGGTTTAAGGGCTTAAGTTTTTAAATATCAATTCCCAAGTTTAAATACATCGAGTTAATACATTTCAGTGGATAATTTATTGAAAACATGTATCTAACAATCTCCGTTCCCAATAACTCAGCATCAAACGAGAACATTTTGACACTGGAACAGATGGGTAAAATTTCAGCCCCTCCACGAGAAAGCAGTTCTGGAAGCGCTTCCGTCATCCTGTTAAAAAGGAACTAAACCACAGCATCGAAGCGTTTTCTCACCGTGTGTTTTTCTGGGGCCACGTGGCCAGACACCGCCGAGAGCCCAGGCCAGTTTCCCACTGATTGTCACTGACCACTTTGGAGGTGGCCCTTCCACAGATGGGTGGATACTGTAGTAAGCTTGACCGTAAGTGTACACGGCGACAGCCAGCTAGCTGTTCACGTGCTCCGCTGGCTGGCCACGGGCGTCATCTGCCTCTCCATGTGCCACCTCTCCCTGCTCCCTCCCGTGCTGGCTCCTTGGTCATTCCGACACGGGCCGTGTTAATAGGGGCCATTCTGGGTGCAGCGCTGGGCCCTGTGGGGTTTCGCCAGGGTGGCCCCTGCCCCGAGGAGTGAGTCACAGGGGCAGCAGCTCACTTGTGCCATCCTCTGATCTGGGCATTGACAAGTATTACTTCTTTAATTCTCTCGCAATAAATAAATGCCGTGAGTGTGCATCTGTTCCAAAGAGGGGAAACCGAGGCACAGAATGATGGTGTGGTCTCCTCAAGGTTATAGGTAGTAAGCAGGAAAACCCGGACTTGAGTGCAGGCCGCCGGGTCCCAGGGCCTTCCCTGAACCCCTGGGCTATGCTGCCTTCCAGGTCTACCTGTTTGCAGATGGGTGGACCGGCAGACCACCTGCACCGCATTCTGCGAAGCGCTGCGGCTGCGGCCCGCCCAGCGGCACGTCTCTTCCCGCCTCTGCCAAGAGGGGCCTGCCAGGCGGCTTTCTGGCAGCCGATGGAAGATGATGCATGGACACCCCAGTGGAGGGCCAGGCGGCGCTTGGTTTTGCTGAGGCAAACTTGCAGGCCCCGCCTAAAACCAGCTCACACCACCCTGACGACAGAGACTGACCGGCGGGGCAGGCAGCACTCGGCTACCTTTGCTCCGGTCTGTTCAGTTGGAAACTGCCTCTGTCCCTGGTCCTGACCAGGGCTTGCTGTGTGACTGACTGAGCAAGCCACCCTGTGCCTGAACTGTTCCAGCCTGCAAAGAGGATGTGGTCATTACTCCTCCCGCCTTTGTCTCTGGGAGGACGTGGAGCGTGCCACACACAGGAGAGCTCTGAAGATCGTTTAAAACACACATGCCAAATGCCAAGCTGTCGTACAGGGGATGACGCATGACTTCAGAGGCGCCCCGGCTCATTAGAAGGCTGATGTAAAATTGTCTACAGAGGCAAACGGAATTTCAGATCAATTCATGACTTGCTACCCTTATAAATGGCTTTAGTACATTTTTATTCTTTGTTGCTTTTGTCGAAAGCCATTCTCATCTTCATTAAACCTCGCCAACTGCAGCAGAGTCGCGTGCCGTATGTGATCGTAGGACTCGAAGCCCTTCTCTGTTTGGGTTCATGCCCAGGATCTCATCATTCTGTGGTCCATGTCAGCATCATTAACCTGATGAAACAAAGCACAACCCACAAAAGCACATGAGGGGCTGAGAGAGGGGACAGCGCGGAATCTGGCTGCATCAGGTCAAGGGAACATGTGCTGCTCATCTTTCTCCAGACTTCCTCTCCTTCGTCTTTGCTTCTTCTGTCCCTCCGTACTCCGCCTTCCTTTCCTCCTCTCTCCCATACGTTCTTCCGTGAGATTCTTCTGGCCTTTCACTATGCCTTTTCCTTCCAAACCTGTGGTACTTGGTGTGGCTCATCCCGTCTAATGTGTCCCCGAGCTCAGTGCCGTCTTCTCAAAGGTGAGTTGACACACGTGGGCCACGAGACACGCAACGTGTGAAGCCCCTCCCCCTCCGAGCTGTCGTTGGGAGGCAGATGGCATGAGGGGGGCAGTTAGTTGCCATCTTGCGTATCCAGTTTGGCTTCCCAGCGTCTGACCTCCCCCTCCTGTAGGAAGGAATCACCCTTTACATACAGATGTATTGGGACGCGGTGCCCCCTCCCACTGTGGATGCTGAAGCAGAGAGGTCTTTCCTGTCTGTCAGGTGTCCCCATTTCCGGCACCGACCAGCCAGGGAGTGGCCAGTGACCTGGGGTGAACCACTTGGACTCCCTGCTTAGGATGTGAACCGGGGCCAGCAACACGGAAACAGGTGGTTGCTGAGTTCATTTCTCGGGAGCCGATGGGGTCCAGGGTGACCGTGGCCCCGCAGGGGGCATGTCTGGGACCCGCAGCTTCAGGGATGGTGCGTCCACTGGTGACAACATCCAGCGTGGCACAGTCCCGGGCCGATCCTTCCCGCTCCATTCCTTGGCCCACTGAGCTGGGGCTCATTTCTAGCTTCCCATCAATTCTTTGAGCCCTCAAGTTCTACCCAATAAATTCCTTGTTCTCCCATGAAGTAGCTTAGGTTGGATGTACGTATCGTACGACCTCACAACTCCACTCCAAGGTGTACGCCCAGCAGAAATGTGTGTGTATATTCACCACAAGAAATGTTTCGTGTTCATAGAAGCACTAATAACCCCCAACCGGAAAGCACCCAGATGCCGGATGAGTGGATAAACAGGTAATAACACGTCCACACAGTGGAATGCCATGCAGCAGTGGACGAGCGGTCGTTCGTGGCGTGGGCCTCCCGAGTTGAGGCAGGTATGTGCCTGAGGTTCTGATCCCATCAAGAACAACACCTGCCCAAGCTGACCTGTGCTGGTGTAAGCTGGGGCGTCGGTCACTCCTGATGGGGTGGTAACGGGGCAGGCGAGGAGCTTCTGGGAGATTCTGTTTCTTGATGTGGACACACTGGGTGTGTCCGGTTTGTCAAAATCTTGGAGCTGTACACTTTCGATCTGTGCACTTTGCTGTACTTATGTTACACTTCAATAAAAAGTCGGGTTTGGTGGCTAGCAGTCAAGCGCCCTACTGTTATTTTTTTTCTTGGGGGGGACTTTGCTCAACCTTTTACTCCTTAGGGTGGGGCATTTAAGAGCGTATCCAATGATGTTTTGAGGTCGGGAGTACTTACAACCGTAGCTGTCTGGGTGGAGAGCAGGCTCCAAGCACCTGCAGACGGCGCCTGTGAACAGGACATGCGAACGCCATGCTGTGGAATTCGTGTCTTCTGGGAAAATGGAGGGCTCCTACAGGGGTCCCCAACTTGGAGCCGCTGCTCTGTAACTGAGGCGAGTGACATCCTCAGCCTCTCCTGCCTCTGAGCATCAGGAATGGAGAGGATGGCTGCCATAAAACCCAGCTGCCAGACACCCCCGGGGGAGGGAGAGTCCCTGAAGGCACCAGCTGGCTCTGCCAGGACGTGTCTTCCGAATGCAGCCTGGCCTCCCGGCCCCTGGCCCATAGGTAGATTCACTGAGACAAACGGCTTCTTCAATGCTACCCCCGGGGCCCGGGGACCCCTCCCAAACCTCTGGTGGCCTCTGAGGGCCCCCGGTGCTGCTTCCTGTGCGCTTGTCTGCCACGTGGCTCAGGCGTCCTTGTCACAGCACTTACTCGTCGAAAGCCAGGGTGATCACAGAGCGGCTTCACGCTGGGACTCCTGCCGCGTGAGTCAAAGGCCTTAACTTCCTTTCTGTGCTCCAGCCCCACGGAGCTCAACAGTGAGTCTACGTGTTGTCAGCAGCCTCCCTCTGAGGGCACCGTGGCGGGGAAGCAAACCAGAGGTCAGAAGGAATTTCATCCTAGTGACTTCGAATTTAAGATGACGATAATAATGACAACTAATGTTTTGACCTGAGGAGGATGTGGACTCTGGTAATAGATCCGACAGAATCTGTTTGTCCTTCCATGTCCTTCAGCTGGTCAGGGAAGACACCAGGTCACGGGAAGTCTTATGAAGGACCAGAACCATGCTCCCTGCTCCGCCCCAAGTTTCAGCCTCCGCCCGGGGGCGGCACACCAGTCTGCCCGCCCCAGGGTACACGGCCAAGGACAGCGGTGGCGGAGGACAAGCTGGGTGTCTGCCCGGTTTCCGTGTTTCTCATGAGTCAGCGTTGACTCCTACTGGGCAGACAGGGCCGTCCCAGCCAGCTTCTGATATAACCCTTACCCTCGGTTCCGCTTTAGCTATTAGTAGTTTACTACTAAACTTCTCAAGTCCAGGTATGATGAGGGACCACATGCTATTATTATAACCGCTTACCTTCAATGACCCCTTGGTGACAGGGAGCGGCCCCCAAGGCCCTGCCTGCTTTGGCCCCAACTTACTCTCCAGAGTCACGTTCACACCTCGCTCGCCCTCAAAACCCTGAGCTCCAGCTACACTGGCATTGTTCGAGCCTACCTCCCCGTCCCCGCCCCATCCCCTGCCGCCTCGGAGCCTCTGCACCTGCCTGGTACACACTCGTCCCTCCCTCGCCGGTCCGTTTAGATCCCCAGCCGAGCATGGCTGAATGTTTGAGCCTCCCCTGCTCTCTCCGACCAAGTCAAATCTGCTTACAGGTGCTTACTGCACTGAGAACCTGTCCACACAGCACCCATCCTGCTTGTGATTTTCCATTTGCATATGCACCTGACACATCACCTGGCACATCTGTTGATAGGTGCTTAATAAGTAGTAGCCAAAGAAATGAGTGCAAGCCACTGCTCGTCCTTTTGAACGCTGAGTGCTTCTCCTTAGCGTTCCCCAGGTGAGCTGCTCACCTGTGCATGGGCCCTCAGAAGACCCAGCGAAGCGGTTGCCAAGGGGAGGAGGGCGGGACCTAGTTTGTGCTGAGGGCACCCGGCAAAGGAGTCACTTTGAATCCTCACAATTGTGAGAAGAATCATCGTCATTCCGTCCATGTGTATGCCTCAAAGTACACGGGACGGCAAGTTCGAATGAAAACCGGCCCACGGCAGACAGTTACCAAATGGCTGGATTGGAATCCCAGTCAGTCCTGACCTGACACCACCCTACGCCTGCCTGTCGCCACACGGAGGTGTCCAACAGATGAAGGCTCTCGTTTCCTGCCCCCAACACTTTAAAAAAAAAAAAAAGTTAATGGGAGACCATGAAGCATGCTCATGACTTTAGAGCGAGGGTCCCCAACCCCAGGTCGCATAGCAGGTGAGTGGGGGGCCAGCGCGTGAGGCTTCATCTGCATTTGCAGCCGCTCCCCAGCGCCAGCATCAGCACCTCAGCTCCACCTCAGATCGCCAGGCATTGGATTCTCATGGGAGCACCGGTCCCTGGGGCCGGAAAGGTTGGGGACCGCTGCTTTAGAGTATGGTTGTGCTTTCTGGCCATTTAAAAACTATAAAGCACCTGCTTGCTATAAACGCACCTTCACACCCTGCAGCTGGAGCCTGTTTTAATCATGGTAATTAAGGCCGGGGAGGGAGGGCCGCTTCCCGTCGAGCAGTGGAAGAACATCTTGAAGGAGAAACGCTGTCCTGTGAAGCAGGAAGGTGACATTAGCCAGGTTAGTCCACTCCTAAAGCCCATTGTTTGGAGTGGGGGTGTCGACGTGTTTCTGTGACTTGTTTTTATTTCTCTGACTTGTTTTTCCAAATCATGTGGTAAAATTCTTATCATTTACCGGAGCTTTTACATTTTTTTATTATGTCTTATTTTATTGTTTGCTTTTTAAGTTCAATTAGACTTCATTCGACTACATTCTAAGTACAAACCGGTGCCCGGAGCAGAGTAAAGGAAACCAGCGTCCCTGACGAAGTCAGCGTGTCGGGGCTGACACCGCTCTTACGGTACCTGTCTCCTGGTCGAAGGGTCGGTCGTCTCATCTCAGTCCTCACTGGTCTCAAACACTCAGAAATGTAGATTCACACACCAGCACGTCCTCAGTTAAATGACACAGGAACAAGAAAATAAAAGAGAAGATGGGCCCCGTGGTAGATAAAGAACGATTGAGCCAGGAGGCAGTTAGGAGACCCCTCCCCCCACCAAAAAAAAAAATCACAGTGATAAAAAGCCTGGGCTTTGAGTCAGAGGGACTTGGGTCCAGATCCTGACTCTGCCACTTCCTAGTCCTGCCGCTAAACTTTGATCTCCTCCTCCCGTTTCACACGGGCTCTTGAGGATTCCACGAAATAACGTATTTGGCATTGCCTGGCGCATAACGCACACTCAATAAACAGGGATTAACTGTATTTGCCTTGTTCACAACTATTGCGGACACAAGACGAGACAGATGGTCAGAATTTAAACTGAGACTTTGTTATTTACCAAAGACGCATTGAAAAAGGGAGAGAAAGTAAAACTTCTCAGGCAGTAGCAGGGTTCCCGTCCCACGCCAAAGCCTTAACACACCCCAATCACAGGCTGTTCCACGCACGAAAGCAACGCGGGAGCCCGCCCAGCAGGCCCTGCCTTAGAGAGAAGGGGCCTCATGAAAAGCGGAGAAGACAGACCGCGCGGGTCATCGGCAAGGGAGCGGGGGTCGAACCTATCGTTGTGCATTTGCAAACTTCAAAGTTGCTATTTAAAGAGGGCTATGATGTCATTCATTTGCAGGAGGTCGAAGTATTTGGTAAAACATTCAGGGTCCCTGAAGGGACCACAGTATTCCCCCCAGGAAATAAGCCACTGGGGGCCTCTCTGGTGGCTGGACCTTTCCCAGTAACCACTGCCAGGTAGTGCTGTCGATTTTACCGTTACCTTCTTTCGGTTTTCACCTCTGACGATTTTGAATGAATATGCCCTGGACCAAGATACCAAAGGCCGGACTCCTAGCCGACAATGCCAGGTCGCACCGGGACTGAGGTGTGGCTGTCACGGCATCAGGCTGGGCTGATACGGAATGGCCACCTGCTGCCCAGCCTGATAACCGTGGGAAGCCACCAGGGGTCTGCCAGCAGAGTTGAAGTGCACAGCTCAGGAAACGTGTCAGTGTCCAGGCACGAATTACTTACTTATCGTCACGGGCTGAACTGTGCCCCTAAAATTCCTATGTTGATGTTCTAACCCCCGGCACTTCGGAAGGGAACTGTATTTGGAGACAGAGTCTTTAAAGAGGTGGTTAAGGTCAAATGAGGCCGTGAGGGTCCAGTATGACTGGAGTCCTTGTAAGAAGAAGAGAAGGTTAGTCACAGACTCACATGGAGGGACGACCACGTGAGGACACAGGGAGAAGGCGCCAAGGACAGAGGCTCGGAAGGAAGCAGCCCTGCCGACACCTTGATCTCCGACTTCTACCTGCAGAACTGTGAGAAAATCCACGTCTGTTGTTTTAGCTGCCTGGTCTGGTGCGTCGTTATGGTGGACCAAGGAGACTGATTCGGGTTTCACATCCTTATGTAGAACCTGCCAGGTGTCACTCCACCTTCTGAGGACTTTGCTAATATCACTTCACGGCTCCTTTGAACGACCCAGTGATAGGATGAAACCCATTTTAAAGATGGCAAAACGAGGCACGGAGAGATCGAGTGACTGACTTCTCTCCCGAGCAGGAGCAGGCGGGGCTGGAACCCCGGCTGTCAGTGGCAGGTACACGCTTTTACCCACAGTGCTCTGCGGCCCTTGGAGTAGGTGAGAAATAGTTGGACCCCAGGGTTCAAATGAAAATAGTGAGCCGCTGAACAACGGCCCGAGGAGTGTTGAGGCCTTTGGCAGGTGAAGCAGAAGCCCAGTCATCATGGGGACAGGAGGCGTGGGCATGGGGACACATAAACCTTCAGGTAGCTGGGACTCAGCCATGTGGCAGAGTCACAGGGCCAACTCCCAGCTGTGACTAGAGCCACATCCAGATTCATGTACTGTCGGGGAACTACAGTTTGCCAGAAGAGAACTTGGGGTGGAGACGGTAGCATTAGGCTGATCCTGCCAAGTGGGACGCGCAGGGGACAGGACTCAGGCCTGGGAACTCCCGGGCAGGAGCCTCATGAGCAGAACAGGTGCCGAACAGTGGCAGAAGAATGTCACAGGGGACAGGTACTGCCTTCCAAGTCAGCCTCATCAGGAAGGGTGGGGACAAACCCCTGCAGATGTGGCCAAGGTTACTTGAACACAGACTGGAACTGAGCGTGTGGGACTCAGGAAACATTGATGAGATGGGACTCGACTCCACTAACAGAGACAGTCTTGGGAAAGGTTTACTGCTGTGAGGGGGAGCATCCCCAGGAGCAAACAAATCCGTCTGTTGATGGCAGAGCATCTTAGAAGAGAAGCAGCTTCAGTGGCATAAAGTCCGACCTCCTCGATCTGGGAAATGGTGTCCATGGTCCTTTGAACACCGCCATCTTTTCACATGTTGATATCTTGTATTTCGTAAACATCATATAAACAAGCTCTTATTTTTTCTGAAAAGAGCAATCGTCTGAAGCATCTTGGTTGAAGAGTTCTCCAATATAAAGTGGCCTGGATTTGGAATTAGTAATGACTGTGTGATGATAAAGTATGCATTAATAACACTTTTCTTTCTATAATGCAAATGCTGGTAAAATTAGGTTAAGACACACATATTCCATTAAACATGAAGACTAATAGAAAATAAGGCCCCCCGACCTATTGAAAACAAATGAAGGACTCATTAAGAAAACACCGAGCTTAAGCTTTATCGGTATATTTATCTTTAAATACACAGATGTGACTAATTCATTAGTGATCAGGGTGAGTCAGATCTTTATCATATGTAGTATATTTTTAGCACTCAGTTGACGGCAGTATATTACCAAGAGTTTATTTGCTCACCAGAGTCTTTATTTACTCGCATATAATTAATGGGAATTTTCAGCATGTTTTACTTCATCACGGCCATATAAACTTTTTAGAACACGTTTGATTACTGAACTACAAATGTTGTAATAAACTATCGTTATGGTCTTTGCCTTAACTGCGAGAAGAAAAATAGGAATTCCAAATGAAATTCTTTCTAACGGCTAGCCAAACGAAATGCGTATAACAAAAGTAATCTGTGCTAGTTTTAGGAGAATTCTAACTTTACAATGACGTGTCATCGGCGTCTGCCTTATAAACATTAGACCACACAGCTCTTGTTAGCTATGAGCTAGTTGTCTTAAGGCCCTAATTAATCTGTGATTTTTAAAAATATATTACCAATATGTGTGCTGGACCTGGCTGGCCCAGTGTTTGAAGTTATGGCAGCAAGAGGCACATGGAGCAAAAAGGCTCTGGACCATAGAAAGTGGGAGAAATGCCAAGAGCAGCCCACAGTCACCGAGATTTCCAGGCACAAGTGAGCATCTGTGAGCGAGCGCTCACGGGCGACTCCGTGAGCCGGCCGCACACGGTCAGTGCTCCTACGCCATAGGTGAGGAACTAGGTGTGGGGAAGGGCAGGTACCGCTGTGCAGCATTCGCCAGTTTCCACGGTGTAAATGCTCCCATCAAGTTACCGAAGACATCGACAGGCTTTCAGAGCTCCTCAGAATTTACCGATGGGCTGTCATGTCACTAGCCAATCAAGTCACCAGCTCATGTTCACAGAACACGATCAGTAAATGAAAGAGCTGTGACTTGAGCCAGGAAGTCTGACATCAGAGCCTGTGATCTCAACTGCTATGTCATCCTATTTTTAGGATGAAGAGGAAGGAAAGGGGGACCCCACTCCACGGGCTGCACCTGAGCGACAGTCGAGGTCAGGAGTGCATGAGAGGCCAACTGCGCTAACCTGAGACCTCAGTTAGAAAAGAGGAGAGAAAGTAAATTGAACTCTCAGGAAGAAACTGACAAAAATTGTCAAGCGATATCTTCTAAGTTTGAAGAGATGCTGTATCTTTTTTTGTTTTTTAATAAAATGTCCTGTTCCAGAGATATTCCTAGGTGGAGGGGCAGACAGTTAAGCTGCCTTTATTTGGGGAGTCGCCACGAATTCCTTGAACTGACTGGGACACGATCAGGAACAGCAGCACACTGCAGACACGTGCCAGGGCAGTGTTCTGGAACTTTCTTCTTGGCTAGTCTTCCCTCCTCTTCATTCCTGTCAGAGGTTTTGTGGAATACCTTGAGAAACATAAAAAGTATTACTTCTCCCAAATCAATTTTTGAAATACACACATTCACCGCATTTTGATTTATTGCCAACAGTGCACCTTGCATCTTGGCTCCTGAAGGTCAAAGATAAATTTCTTTTCTCCATGGCTTTCGGGGCAGATGCTGCCAACTGTCAGGGCTGTCCCCGGGCTGCTGTGGGGGCCGTGGGCTCAGATAAGAAACTGGGACACCCATTTTAGGGAGTTAGGAAGACAGGATTGTCTACACCGAAATCCAGGAGCATTCAGATTTTTCGAGGCCTGAGGCTTGCACAGTCTGGGTGACCCACTTTAAGCAAAGGAATTCCGGATTCCAAAATCACACACCAGGGCTTGGCACAGGCTCGGAAGCTTAAGCTTCGTTAACCTCATGGTAAACGCTGCGTTTCTGCTGAGACCTGAAAAATAAGTATGAGGACCTGACAAATGCAGGAAGAAAAGCGGGGATGGGGGCGCCGTGGTGGTCTGGAGCTGCAGGCCGTTCTGGAGTCGGGGTTAGGAGTCGGAAGTGGGGAATTGGCAAAAGGGCAGCTGGGAGAGGGCGATGTTGAAGGACCAGGTAAACTGAGGTAAGGAGCTTGAACTTTTTGCTGAGGGCAAAAGAGAGCCACAGAGAGTTTGGGGAAGGATGTGACATGGTCTCACTGGCATCTCGGACTGCTCGCTGTGACCCCAGTGGAGGGAGGGGATAGAAAATCAGGCGCGTATCCCCCTGACCCCGACCTCTATTTCTCCATCGTCCACTCAGTTTCAGTTCGTTAATACAACTGCTCCGAATACAAGTGTCGGTCATGTCCCCTGAAGGTGTCAGTGCTCACGGTTGTGTGCGTGTCGAACCAGGCGACACCGACGAGAGAGCATTGTCCGGAGCGGTCCTGCCACCTGTCTCCTCACGCCCCTCTGAGCCGCGAACAGCTTCCCCACCGAAGGTTCGAGCAGGTTGCTGGGAGAGTCAGTGACCTGTTGAGCTGTGAAATCCACATGAATATTGTTAAAAAAAAAAAAAGAAAGGTTCCTGGCACCTGTCGAAGAGGTGAGGCGGATTTTATGCAAGGCGGGCCATGGCGTCAGGTGTAGGGACACCGCGGGGCGGCCTCGCGGCGGCGGAGGGAGCGGGCTCAACGCTCAGCACAGCTGGCGAGCGGGAATCTATGCCACGCGCGGGTGGGGTCAGCGACGGTGGAGTCGCTAAGCGAGGGGGCAGCGGCGG